TAGGTAGGAATGACTTTTGTGGCCGCTCGAACAGGACACGGGAATAGGAACGACCCGCCCTCTTAAAATTTGTGGCCGTATCTGCTACTGCTCTCTGATTCTGTCTCTGATGACGAATATGCGACTGATCTGGAGACGTCGGGCGAATAAGTTATTGTCCCAGCGGTCGAGTCGTCCTCTTTTCATAGGAAATATTCATATGTCTTAACCGAAACACAGAACTAAACTCCAACCGTAAGCCTTAGCCCTACAGTTAACACGAACACAAAACGTAACCCCTTAGCACAATGCGGACCCTAACCCTAACCCCAAATCTGACCGTAACCCCAACCTTAAACTTAACTCTAATCATAACCTTAATCCCAAACCTAACCTCTCTGGAGTTTGGCGCAAAGCTACGGTTATTGTGGATGGTGCCTGTTCCCGTGTTTAGGCGGCCATACAAGTCCTTCTTACCGATTAACGTTTTAGATTAAGGATGGGGTTAAGTCAGAAAAGATCATTCCGATGTCCCCTATTTGATTTTTACTCCCATTCTGCATGTGTTTTTTTCATTTTCCAAGGGGAAACCTACCTTTAATAGACAATTATTGTTAGGGATTGGATAGATGTCTCTCCTCGAGAACGGGAGCCAACCGTAATACAGTTATGTTTAAGGGTAAAGTGATCTTATATGGGCACCTAAACAGGACGCGGGAATAGGAATACCCCACCCTCTTAAAATATATGGCAGTGCGATAAATTTCAGTAAGAATGAATATTCTCGTGTCTTAATCATAGTATAAAACTAAATTGTACCCTACCCTAAATCCACATCCAACAGGTAACACGAACCAAAACCTTAATCTTTAACATAATCCTGAGCTCAACCTTAAATCTAACCCTAGCCCCAACCTTCACCTTAATCCTCAACCTAAATTTCTTCGAATGTGGCGCAAAACCACATGTGTATTGAGGACGGTTCCTGTTCCCGTCTCCTGTTTGGGCAGCCATACAAGTCATCCCCACACTTGAAAACCTTGGACTAATCTAACGGTGTTTCGGGGGCGTGCGCCTTGGTGTGTTTGTAGGAGCCAATGCAGTTAAATAAGAAGTCAGACCAGCATGCGGGTTTAGGAAGTCCAAGTGTCGGAACCCCGACACATGACATCCAAAGATGCGACCCTGGTCCCTGCACGATGACCGATTGCCTTCATCACCGCCCCTTGACGTCACTTAATCAGATCAAATCTCGGCAGTGTTTACGCACAAGAAGTGACCGTCAGGACAGGGAGGTGCGCCTTTAGATGGGCAGAGGGGACTAGTGGTCATCACGAGGACCCAGCCCTGTCAGACTCCTTGGGTTTCTAAAAAGAAAACACCCCCCGGGAGACTCGATCAACCAGGATTATAGAAGATTTGCAATGTTTCTGTCCTCCCCCACCCCCTATCATCGCTGGCTCAAGTGTAAGTACCTGATCCTGTGGCATCCACTTGTAGAATGCATCGCGTGTGCCACAAACCTGACACATGAAAATGTGCAGGATTCACCCCTCGTCTTTAGCCGTTGAATAAATCGTGGTGGGCATGAGAGGGAGCGTGGTTTTATAGCACTTATCAGATCGTTCGAATTCCACTGAGACCACCGACTTTTTCATAACTAGGTCAGATGAAGCATTGAAGTCTGCTAAAGCTCTCTACTATTCATCTGCGCTTAGTAGGCATCTAGTGGATTGTAGACTGATTCCTTTGGAAAGCTCGCGAGTTCGAGGCTCGGTTGGACCTCTTTGTTCTGGGTATGACTGGCTGACGATAGCTAATAAGCCAGAAATGGCCATGAGAGTCTCCTTTGTCTTTGCCGGCAATACTATCTCCCTAAAACCCTGCTTTGCCAGTCAGTACACAGTAGCAGAATTCATGGATCCTATACGTGTCAGTAGATTGGACAGGTCATTTGGTTTAGGTGTGATTAAGCTCACGGCTCCCAGTGTGGCCTCGTAGGTTAGGTGGTTGGAGCATCAGCAGTACCGAAGCATTTTTATTGCTGTCTTGAGTTCGAATTACATGGAGACCGCTGATTTTTTCTTGGCTCAAATGAGTGAAGGATAGCATTATTTTCCTCAGGCGCCATAGTTAAACAAAAAAGAAAATCGTTTATTGTTTTGGATGAGATAACTAAACCTTTCGGGGAAGTCGGTTTGGGGAAGGCAAACATTTGTAAAAAGGAGAAGATTACTGGCTTAGTACATTTTAAAAAGCAAGGGGATTTCTGGGCAAAGACACCAGAGAATGGGATCGTGTTTTCAAGCTTGTTCGAATTCGTCAAACCACCATTCCCCAACACCAAGTAGGATAGGCCAGAGAGTAGAGCTCGAATACAGTTGCTTATTGAACTAATACTATTAGCTGCGAAGGGTATTCATCCTCTGAAGGGAAATGTTCAGCATCAAGTAGAAGTGGTTTCCGTCCATTGGTCATCTTAGTAGAACAGAATACGGTACTGCGTTCTACACGTGAGGGCCCCTCTCACAAATGTCTAACGTAAGGGTTTGACGCTTTTGGGCCTGCCAAACACGGGTTCTTTTGACACATTTCCGACAGACCAGTCGTTCAAGAGTCTGGGCGTGGTAACTGAATGTCGTGCCACTTCTAAATGTCTACAGCAATGACACACACGCACAAAAAAGAGGAGCGGGAGGGCGTTTCGGCTTTAATGCGGCGGAGCGCAGTCCCCTCTGAGAGTCTGTGGCCCTCTCAAGCATAAAGTCACTTCTTTACTTCCATAAACGGAACCGGATATTGTCTGAATACTCTGGTAATAGAGTGTACCTCCAACTCCTTCCAAGAATACCGGCTACTAACTGTTTTACACTCCCCCCTCCCCCTCCTGCGCCCTTCTGTTGACCAAAGTATTTTCAAAGTACTCCTCACACCAAACAGCGGTAGCAACGGAAGCTGGCGTTCGTGCGGGCCAGACCGCCGTTGACCCTTCTTAGCTGGGCTCTTGGCCGGAAATT